TGCAACACCTTGGCCGAAGAGCGGCCGTTTCGAACAAAAAGGCTGCAATTAAAAAGAGGGTAGGCCTGGGAAACTGCACGCCCAACGCCTGTGTAAGGGCCTGCTCCAGGTGGTGGGAGCCGGGCACGGAAATAACTCTGTGGGCATTTAGGGACCACGAAGGGGGTGACTGCGGTATATAGGAATTACGATGCTCCAGAGGTAGCCCCTTCCCGGAGCTGCTTGGGGTGTAAAAAGGGCTCCGTTAGGGATTGAGGGCAGAAGCGAAGTCTGGCCCGGACACCCCACATCTGCCTTTGAGTTGTTTTGTGTTACGTCCTTTTTCTTTATTTTATTTATTTATTTATTTATTTGGAAAGTTCGGTTAGGCGAGACCGGCTAGGAACAAGGGGGGGCGACTCACAGGTGGTTGAGCACGTTTGAGCGAGCCGGCCTTGAATTTCTCCCTGCCGCAAATCCCAACCCTAAACTCTCTCAGGCCGATCGAGATCTCGGAGCCGACGCGCTGATTTAATTAAGCGCTTCTGGTTCTACACCCAGAAATTGACCCAAAAGTGTTGCCTCTATATTTTGTACCACGGAGAAAGGGAGAAGCGGGGAGAACAGTGGCATTGTCAGGGAGAGAAATGTGGGGGCCACCTTCAGTTTGCGCTTTCCTAAATCATTTTTTGTTCCGCGCGCTCTTTCTATGGAAGCGTTTGCGCTTGCTTCAGAGTCGGAGTTAAAAAATAGAGAAGACAATGACTCAGATTTCTCTGCAAGTATCTTTTAAGATGCCACTTTTTAACCTGCATTTTGGAGTGTAATTTCTCCTTCTTGCCTGCACAGATTTTCTTTATCGTTATTTAAAGAAGCTACAGAAATGAAAGGTGAACGTTGGTGAAAGTCTGGCCCTCGCCGTGCCTTTTGCTTTTCTACGGGCATTAAGGTTTGCTTAAAATGGGGCACAGAGCACCTTTACGGAATAAGCTCAGGACAACCAGGCGATGTTTTTGAGAAGCGTTGCAAAAGCAGAACGTGTAGGAAAACCAGGAATTATTGAATATTATTGAGAAGGACAATTGCGTTTTCGTATTTGACTACCGCATAATCTCTTCCTTGGGAAAAAAATATAGACCTTTTCCCAGAGTCTCACATGGGCTCTTAATAATAAAAATGCTTGAAAATGAAATATCGCAAGGGAAGAACTACATCGACAGAAATACATGGCAGCTTTTAAGGCCTCGGCTATTTTACGTAGTGATTTTGGTGTCTCAAGCCCTGCGTTAAGCAGTGGTTTGTGCTGCAGGTCTCTCAATCAGATTGTGACTTTGGTGCCAAAGACCTTTTTTGTCTGGGCTCTTTTATAGCAGCAGGTAGTTTGTACGCATTGAGCCAATTCAGTAAATGTTAGCGGCTGCTTTTTTTGCTGTCAGCAGGGAGGACGGAGCCGGGACCTTTTCTAAAGCGAAGTCCCGATTCCGTTGCTGGATTCAAGGTGTTGCGTCCCGTCTCGCAGCGCCGAGGGAAGCGCAGCATAAGCGGGGGTTTTGTTTCGGTGGGTCTGCTTGAACAGACCCTGAACGTGGAAACAGCACTTGGGTTTTAAATAAAAAGTGCTCATAGTAAAACAAAAAACATTGCTCAAACAGAAAGCGGCTGAAAGCTGGAGCAATTCTGAATTCAGTGTTAAAATACTAATGGGCATTTTTTTAAAAGGCAGCTCCCCCGCTGGGTAGTTTAGGGCCCAAACCTGCCCCGTTCCCCTTTCTGCCCCCCCGAGTTTTGTCGGTGAGACTTGGCCACGGGTGTTGTGATGGAGCCGGGCTTGTTTCCAGGGGGTCTCTTTTCTAACCGGGGGGGACGCTTGGGGCATCGAGGTGCTCGGATGAAGCGCCCTGAGGGTGCCGCTTCTGAGCCCAGAGAGGGGATCCTTTGATGAGCAAGGGTGCAAACCCCGGTGGGGAGAGGCTCAGGACCACCTTAGTAGCACAGCCAGGTCCGGCTCCACGGCCGAGCAGAGCCCCGACTCCTTCCGTGGACTTTCTTTGGGATCGAAGATATTTTTATTCCCTCCACGATGAGGAATCTGCAGAAACACAGCCTCTCCTGCAAGGCTATAGTAAATCAAGGTCCTCTAGTGCTTTTGCTTCCTGGACAAACTCTTTGTAAAGAGCTAATTCTGGGGCGTCATGAGGACCGATGCAATATCCAAAATATTATTTTTTAATAATTAAGATCAAGTCTATGCAGGTGTAGCTGGATATACAAAGATACGTAGTCTGTGCAGTTGTGGACGGTGTTCATTCTCCGCTGAAAAGCTACGCCATGGGGAAAGAAGCTGAGACAATCTGTACTCAAAGATGATTAGAAAATGAGACTGAAAAAAAAATTATAAAGATCTTGCTTATCAAGCCAAATGATGGGAATTTTGGCCCGGGTTAAAAATTGCCAAATTTAGCTCTGTGGTATAAAATGCTGGGGAAGGTGGAAGCATAAATCACATGGGCCTATTTGAAAAGCTTTCCTTGGTGCGAGTTCAAAATGCCTCATTTGGGCTTTTCAAGGTACATTTGGTGAATGATTTCATACCCTGAAGGGCAGGATCAGACCCAGTGGCTGAGGCCATGAACTTGCTCTAGGCATTCGCTTAGACAGGGTTATAATGAATTCCCGACTTAATGATGCATGAAAAGAACCCGCTGTAAAGTCTCCTTCCAGGAGCCTTCCCTGCCCGCGCCAAAAGCCGTCTCCTCCGCGAGCGCCTCTTGAAACGCGTCCC